GTCTATGAAACTCCTCTTTCACCTGCCTATGAATCTCCTCTTTCATCTGACTTACAACTTGAGAGACCTTCAGTTCCACCAATTGTTCAACTGAGCTAGATGACTGTGAAGATGATGGTTGTCCAAAGTAAGTCCGCAAACCATAACCTCCACCAACTGCCCGAACCTGACCTGCAAGCTCAGGCTTCCCAATGGCAATAGTTAGTATATCATGTTGCCCATGGGAAACAAAAGATCCCTCTTTAGCTTGCTGCTTTAGTACATCCTACAATATAAGATACCAAAAATTTAATAAACCCTTTGAAATATATGTTAATTAGCATCATATGTACAGCAAAATTATACTCACTATCTTGCTAGCAATCTCTTTTGCTGCCTCAGTTGTAAACTCGCACGTTTTCTTAATACGAGCAAACTTCCATAATTCATGACGTGTGGGTGGAGAAGCAGGATCACTAACTACAGTCTCATCTTCACTAGCCTGACGCTTCATAGTCTTCTCCTTCATCAACTTCTTCTTAAGCCATGGATAACCCCCACGTGACATCACACAAAAGGTGTCATTATTTGCCTGCGTCTGTTGTGCTTTCTTTCTTTTCTCCTACAAAGATATCATATTATAAGAGTAAGGGTAAAAATTAATATTCACAAATGGTAATGCATATAGTCATAACATACTGTAAACTCTTCAGTCATTCTAGACTCTACAAATGCATTCCATGTCTCATGATCAATAGTGGGGTTTTTATCACCAGGAAATTCTCCTTTCTTTTCTCCAAAAATGTATTGGTTTGTCAAAGTAGTTTTATATGCCCTCCACCTTTCAGCCACAATAGAAAGGGTTTTCCTTCTCATCTTTTCTGTCTTTGGAATGTCCTAAGTTTCCTATAAAGATAACAATAAGTTAATACATGTTGATATCCTAATCTAGTTTAATAACAAAAATGTTAAGTATAAATAACATTTTACCATAACATCTGCCCAAATATGATTTTTTACAACCTCCTCTACATGATCCCAATTGGGCAATAAAATAGAAACTTTGTTCTAGCATGAACCCCCATAGTACTCATAAACTGGGCAGCTGAATCCCCTGTAGGATGCCCAGTGATCTCATCTATGTCAACATATAATCTCTCTTCATTAAGGCGTTTGGTTGTAACATGTTTCATTTTAGTGGGACCTCTAACTTTTTTCTTATTTGTAGATTGTGTACTACCTGAAGGAGAGGCTTGATGTTCATCCATAATTACTTGTTAACTGAAAAATAAATTACAAGTCATTAGTATAAATTGAATTTAAATAATAACATATTGTACTTAAAAGACAACAAAAATTAGCATCATAAATAAAAATTAATAACAATAACCTATTTTGAAAATATGATCAAGTTTCATTGTTCTCCCATATTCCTTCCTAATGATCCTCACGAGTGGCATATACATCATCCACATCATATTCATTAAAAGTTAGCACACGTGTTGACAAGGGAGGAGTATCAATTATATTAGTTAAATCTCCAAATTCTTCATTTACATTGTTACTTCTACCTTGTAGAACAATTGACCACCTTTTGTTAGATGGATCGGTGACATAAAATACTTGCTTTACTTGGAAAGCCATGATGAAAGGCTCTTCTTTATGACCAACTTTATTAAGGTCGACCAAGGTAAATCCAAGTTCATCAATTTTGACACCACTATTACTATCAACCCACTTGCATTTAAATACAGGTACTCGAAATGGACCATAATCGACCTCCCATATGTCTTCAATAACTCCAAAGTAGCACATAGAAGCTGTGATAGGGTTGTTATCATTTTTGGTTGAGAAATGCATAGATTGAGCAACTATCATAACCCCACTATTTTGCATAGTACTCTTGTCATCCTGTGCCTTTGTATAAAATGAGTAGTTGTTAATGTCATATCCACAGAAAGTAAACACATCAAAGTTAGGTCCTTGAGCTAAGCGTTGTAAAGTTTCAGAAACACTTAAATCTGTCCCAACATTCATTTTAAACCACTCTATGAAAGTCTTGTTGTGCTCATTCAACACCCATTTTTCAGGCATTCGAGTGTTGTTTGTCTTCACTAAGTCTTTGTGGGCATTTAAATAAGGTAAAACTTCATCAATGTTGTTCAATATATACAAATGTGCTTGAAGCACTTCTTCTCGCATCATGCTTTTCAATTTTATGCCTATTGTACCCTTCCCAGTAGTTCGTCCCTCATGACGGGTCTTAGGAATGCCTATTGATTCAGCTTGAGACATGTATTCAGTACAAAACTCAATTGCTTCTTCTGCAATATAACTTTCTATAATGGATGCTTCTGGACGATGTTGGTTCTTCACATACCCTTTTAATATCTTCATGTATCTCTCAACTGGGTACATCCACCTCAAAAAGATAGGACCACGCAACCTAACCTCCCTAACCAAGTGGATGATTAAGTGAACCATAAAGGAAGGAGGAAAATACATCTCCAATTGACACAATATTAAAAAAACTTCATTTTCCAAATCATCCAACTTCTGAGGATTAATTACTTTACTACAAATGCCATTGAAAAATAGACAAAGTCTGATTATGACTTGTCTCACATTTTTAGGTAAAACATCACGTATAGCGATAGGAAGAAATTGTTGCATTAGTACATGGCAATCATGAGACTTCAAGTCAACTAATTTCAAATCTTTCATTGATACTAAACTTTTTACATTGGAAGAGTAACCGTACGGCACTTTGACACCACGTAAGGACTCACAAAAACTTGTTTTCTCCTTTTTTGACAATGTGTGACATGCAGGGGACAAATATGTTCGCTTACCCATAGGTTAGGGATACAATTGTTCTCGTATTCTCATGAGTTGCAAATCTAGACGAGATTTGAGTCCATCTTTTGTCTTACCTTTTAAATTGAGAAGTGTGCCAATTACACTATCACATACATTTTTCTCAACATGCATGACATCAATGCAATGTCTAACATCAAGAACTTTCCAATAAGGAAGATAAAAAAATATTGACCTTTTCTTCCATATGTTTTTTTCTTTGGGTTATTTTTTCGACTTTCCAAGTACCACATTTAAATTCTTTACCCGGTCATAAACTTGCTCACCGGTTAATGCAGTAGGTACTATGCCATATTCTTGACATCCGTTAAAAGCTTTCTTTAACCTTCGATATGGATGGTTAGGTTGAAGAAATCTTCGATGACCAAGATAAATTGTCTTCTTCCAATTAACTAGATGATGGTAACAAGTGTCCTCTTCACATATAGGGCAAGCTTTGTGCCCTTTAACACTATACCCGCACAAGTTTCCATATGCTGGAAAATCATTGATTGTGAAGAATAACATGGCATGTAACTTGAATGATTCACATGAATAAAATTTGATCGCGAGTGTCGCGCTCGGACAAATTAATAAAAACTGAATTGCATAAAAATTATGTAGTAAGAGGTACAATCTGAGTCGTCTCCCAACGATGATAACGTTATACAATTATAAAATTAAAAGGGGTTTGATTTATTGAATAACACTAATTAGAATCAAAAGTTAACAAGAATTAAAACTCTAATCCAAGAATTTAGAAGAAGTACGACCACTCTATCACCGGATTCCAAGAAGATGCATCAAACAACAAATTAGTGATTAACATTAAATTCGAATGAAACCTCAATTCAAATTAAGCATTCATACGAGAACCATCATGCATTCGATTAATACACAATTCGCTCAAAGTTCAGAAACCTCTAGAACCTAATCGATTTGTGTTAATTTAATTCACCAATGCCATTAATCTTAGATCTCAAACCTGAAAATCTAATTCACACTCCTTCAAGAATTAACTATATACATCAACCGAATAATATGTAATCAAACAACTGCACAATTAATCAATCCAAACAAAGAACTTCAATTCGAAATCATAATTAGCAAGAGGAGAAAGAAGGAAGAGATGAAACCGAATTTGTTGTTGAATAAATTGCGAAACCAATCCTCAAGAGTCACCTCCCTTTTAATCCTTCAATTAGATGGAAATCTAAGCCTCCATGGATGGAGGGAAACAATTCGTAAAGGGGAGAGACAAAAAAACGAAAAAGAGAAGAGAGGAGAAGAGAGGAGAGGAGCCAAAAAAATTAAAATTCAAAATTCAAAATTCAAAAATTCCATTCGTCACTTTGTTCCATTTTTTTGGCTATGAAAAAGGCCTCCTTTTGGTTCGTGGCCTGAAGGAAAATTGTAGCCTTGGATGTTAGCTTCAAAAAGCCACTGGAATGGGCTTAATCGGATATCTGTGGACTGAGATATGGCCCAAATAGTGCACCTTGCTCAGAATCCACGACTGCAATGTTTTGACTTTTTCCAGACCCAGTTTTAGCTTCTTATCATCAGAATTGGTTTCTGAGCTCTCATAAGAATTGTGCGCCTTTCTCTAAGCTTTCCTATAAATCAAGAATCACAATGAAATGAGTTCTACAACTCGAGATATGTTCCAGAAACCAAAACAGTATCAGAATTTACCAAATACTGGAAAAATTAAATAAAGCCCAAATAAAATTCAAACATCATAAAATGATCCAATTCAAACTAATTGGGCACAAAAGAGGATTAATGAGCTAGGAATGAAAGAAAATAAGGTTATAAAAATCCAATTGATCAAATACCCATCGTACACATCAATTCCCTTCTCCTATAACATCTTCAAGTCTTCAACCAATGGAGTTAAATAGACATCAATGTCGTTTCCGGGCTGCCTTGGACCAGAAATCATCATAGATAATATCACATATTTGTGCTTCATACACAACCACGGAGGTAAATTGTAAATTACCAACAAAACAGGCCATAAACTATGCTTAGTGCTTAAATTACAAAACGGATTCATTCCATCCGTAGCTAGTCCAAGCCTAACATTTCTTGGCTCCTTGCTAAAATGTGGAAACATAGAATCAATTTTTTTTCCATTGTAAGCAATCTGCTGGATGCCTAAGTTATCCATCACACTTCCTCTCATCTGCATGCCATCTCATTAGCTTTTCGTTATCCGCATTAGCAAACAGACGTTTTAATCTCAGAACAATTAGTAAATACCATAAAACCTTAGCTGGAGGACCCTTAGTGCTCACATCATAATTAGAATCATCTTGATTTTTTTTATATCGTGACAACCCACATCTTGGACACTGATGCAACCCTTCATATTCACCATGATACAACATACAGTCATTTGGGCACCCATGTATCTTCTTATACTCCAAACCCATAGGACACAACACCTTTTTTGCCTTGTAGTTACGACTAGGCAATGTATTACCCTCCGGAAGCATTTCTTTCAATAGTTCTAACAATTCAGTGAAGCTTTTATCACTCCACCCATTTCTTGCCTTCAGATTGAACAATCTCAATATCGCTGACAATCTTGTAAATTTCGTGCAATTTGGATACAACGGCTTCTCCGAATCACTACACAAAGATTCATACATATGTGCTCGCTTGAATGATTTTGGACCCACATCACGAATCATCTCCTCTAATTGATCATCCATATCTATCTCTTGTGTAAAAGTTTGAGTTGGAGTTTCAATTGAGATAGTTGGAATGTCAATATTTTCACCATGCCATATCCAACGTGTATAATTCTTAAGAAAACCATCACAGAGAAGATGTTCCGTTATAACATCAAGTTCTAGATGACTTCCATTACAACAATTAACACAAGGACAGAAAAATTTCCCATCCATATCATTATTAGCATTCTGTATTACATATTCAATAAAGTATTCCACTCCTGTCTCATACTTCCAACTTAAGCGTGATTCATGTATCCAACTTCGATTCAATAACCAACTTTTATCCATGACTTCTGTTCTTTATAAAAAACCATATATCATGCTTGTCAGTCTCATTTGTATTAAATCTCAAACAAGAAACTAAGATTCAATCAATTCATGCATAAATTTAATATCATATTAATTTATAAAAATTAAATAAAGTACCTAATCTTTATAAACACTTGTTACTAAGAAATATCATATAATTATAATAAAAACTCTGGTTGCCAATTCAGATCGGAGCAAACAATCCAATTCCCATTGGTAAAGATTCCTCTTGATTAATCAAATGAATTTCCATTCAAAGATTGCATGAAAAGCAGAATTAACAACTCAATTAATCCAAGAACTTAAAGTTCAGAAGATAAAGTCGAATCAATACATCAATTCAAGTTCCATAAACCCCTAACTATGGGAAATTAAGCACACATTGCAACAAAAACAGAGAAAGAAGAAGAAGAAGATGAAGAAGAATGCAGAGCAGCCATGGCCACGAGCTCCAATCCGATCCCTCTTCTTGGAGCTTCAAGCTTCGACCCCAATCTTCTCTCCACTCTCTCTCAACGAGAATCTAACTAACAAAACAGAAAAATGAGCAGAAGACCCCGGTTTCGCGCTTCAATCATGTATTTATAGAAACCTCATTTCTACGCGTTGTCACTTTTCTTCACAAGAGTAACCACGCAGAAGCTTTATGTAGTGCGCGTGTTCACTTTCAAGAGCAAGAGTAACCACGCGCAACTTGCAGAGTTGAAGGCTTCTCTGGAACATTCACTTTAATTCATAAGAGTGGCAACGCATGAGGTCGAGGGCTGCGCGTGATCACTTTTGTGAGTAATAGTAACCACGCGCAAGTTGTTCTGATACAAGTGCCTCTGGAACACTCACTTTCGTTGGCGAAAGTGACAACGCGCAGCTCATCAGGAATGGAGTCTCTCTGGAACGTTCACTTTCGTTGGCGAAAGTGATAACGCACACTGGCAACGCTCACTCTTGTAAATAAAAGTGATTACGCACAGGCTCCTCTTCTCATTTAGGCTCTGGAATGATCACTTTCACTAACAATAGTGATCACGCCCAGCCTGCATCCCATAATTCTTGTATTTTGGAGTCCAACATTGCCATTCTTCCTCTTCCTTTCCATTGATAATCCATTTCCATGACTTTTGCTCAGATTATTCCTTCAAAAACAAGATAAATTCCTTAAGAAATAAGCATAAATTCTACAAATGCGAAAATAACTACAAATTGAAATAAAACTTTCAAGGATTCTCTTTTTCTGAGTTTTTTTTGCTTTCTTCATATATTTTCCTTATTAAATGAGCTAGAATTATGCTAAAATATCAGTAAAAATATGGATTCATCACAACCTCCAGCACTGGAGCTTAAACCTTTACTAGAACATCTGAAATATGCCTATCTAGAGGCAAATGAGAAGCTTGCAGTAAAATCTCCACCAAGCTGAATGTAGAACAAGAGGAGAAACTCCTAGAAGTGATTAAGAGGCATAAGAAAGCTATAGGCTGGACCCTTGGTGATATTCCTAGAATCAGCCCCTCTCTTTGTATGCATAGAATATTATTAGAGGAGGGTGCTAAGCCAGTGAGGCAGCCTCAGAGGAGGGTAAATCCCATTATTCTAGATGTGGTGAAGAAGGAGGTCACCAAATTGCTACAAGCTGGGATTATCTACCCTATATCAGACAGCACTTGGGTCAGCCCAGTCCAAGTGGTCCCAAAGAAATCTGGACTCACTGTTGTGAAGAATGAAAAAGATGAGTTGATACCCACCAGAGTCCAGAATAGTTGAAGAGTCTGCATAGACTACAAAAGGCTTAACTAAGCAACCTGAAAGGATCACTTCCCATTGCCTTTCATTGATAAGATATTGGAAAGGTTGCCTGGTAAGTCTCATTATTGTTTTCTTGATGGTTTTTCCGTTATTTCCAAATTTGTATTGCACCTGAAGACCAGGAAAAATCACTTTTACATGTCCTTTTGGCACTTTTGCCTATAGAAGAATACCCTTTGGCTTATGCAATGCTCCAGGAACATTTCAAAGATGTATGTTAAGCATTTTTTCTGATTTAGTGGAGCATTGTATAGAAGTTTTTATGGATGATTTTACCGTGTATGGCCCATCTTTCTTTACATGTTTGAATAATTTGGAAAAAGTATTGAAAAGATGCATTGATACTAACCTTGTGCTTAATTTTGAAAAATGTCATTTCATGGTAAAGCAAGGTGTAGTGTTAGGCCATATCATATCTGAAAAAGGAATTGAAGTAGATCCTGCAAAACTTGATGTTATTGCACAATTGCCTTACCCCTCTTGCACTCAAGAGGTTCGTGCTTTTCTTGGCCATGCAGGGTTCTACAGGAGATTCATTAAGAACTTCTCCAAAATTTCCATTCCCTTGTCTAAGCTTTTGCAAAAGGAGGCTGAGTTCAATTTTGATGAAAAGTGCAGGGAAGCGTTTAATATGCTTAAGGAAGCCCTAACCATCACACCCATCATTCAACCTCCAAATTGGACCACACCATTTGAATTAATCTGTGATGCATCCAATTTTGCAGTGGGGGCTGCATTGACACAGCGGGTTGGTAAGTTTCCTTATATCATTTATTATGCTTCTAGAGCTTTGGATCCAGTACAATGTAATTATACCACAGCTGAAAAAGAATTGTTGGCCATAGTTTTTGCACTGGACAAGTTTAGATCATATCTGTTAGGGTCAAAAGTTGTGGTTTTTACTGATCATTCTACCTTGAAGTATTTGCTGAAAAAGATAGATTCTAAGCCAAGGCTTATAAGGTGGATGCTCTTACTTCAAGAATTTGATTTGGGGATCAAGGATAGAAGTGGAATCCAGAATTTGGTAGCTGACCACCTGAGCAGAATAGAGGGAGTTCTTGACCCTATTCCAATTCTAGATGATTTTCCTGATGAACAACTCTTGGAGTTGTATGCTTCACAGGCACCCTGGTATGCTGATATTGTTAACTTTCTTGTTGCAGGAGTTTTTCCAGCAGGTGCACCAAAGGCTAAAAAGGATAGGATAAGGAGTGATGCCAAACATTACGTTTAGGATGACCTTTATTTATGGAAATTCTGCAGTGACCAAGTCATCAGAAGGTGCGTGCCTGATGAAGAAATTCCATCCATATTGCAGTTTTGTCACGCCTCAGCTGTAGGAGGTCATCAAGGACCTCAGAGGACAGCAAGAAAGGTGCTGGATGCAGGGCTGTATTGGCCATCTATTTTTAAAGACTCATGGCAAGCATATTCTACCTATGAGAGATGCCAAAGAGCAGGAGGAGTAATTACATGGAGACAAGAGATGCCCCAACAGCGCATTCTCTATTGTGACATCTTTGATGTCTGGGGTATTGATTTTATGGGGCCATTCCCCTCCTCTTTTGGTTTTCTTTATATACTTCTCGCTATTGATTATGTCTTAAAATGGGTGGAAGCTAAAGCCACCAGAACTAATGATGCTAGAGTTGTTGCAGAGTTTGTTCGTAGCAACTTATTTTTCAGGTTTGGAATTCCTAGAGCCATCATTAGTGATCAAGGAAGTCATTTTTACAATAGGACTATGGAAGTCTTGTTGAAGAAATATGGAGTTGTACACAAAGTTTCCATTGCCTACCACCCACAGACAAATGGGCAGGATGAGCTCTCGAATAGAGAAATCAAGAAAATACTTGAGAGAGTAGTGCAGCCCCACAGAAAGGACTAGAGTCGCAGGCTTGATGATGCCTTGTGGGCACATAGAACAGCATTCAAGACACCCTTGGGAATGTCACCATACAGGGTGGTCTATGGAAAAGCCTGCCATCTGCCAGGAACACAAAGCTTCTTGGGCAGTAAAGACTTGCAACATCCATTATGACTTAGCTGGAGAACAAAGGAAATTACAGCTGCAAGAATTGGAGGAGCTATGTTTTGAGGCCCATGTGAACTCCAGAATTTACAAGGAAAAGACCAAACAATACCATGACAAGAAGATTTCAAGCAAAGAGTTCTATGTTGGTCAAAAGGTTCTCTTGTTCAATTCTCATCTTAAACTCATGCCTGGAAAGCTCAAATCAAGGTGGCTTGGACCTTTCACTGTTACAAAGGTATTTTTCCATGGTGCAATGGAGATCATAAGTGACTCCACTAGCAAAAGCTTTATGGTGAATGGGCATCACTTGAAGCCATTCTTGCAAAACTCAGCTACCTTGGAAGAAGTTGAGGAGATTAACTTGATATCACCATGGACCAACCTCCATTCCAACCCTTGGCCCCCATAACTCATTTCACACATCAAGCTAGTGACGTTAAAGAAGCGCTGTGTGAGAGGCAACTCACAAGTTGATTAAGATTTTTTAATTTTTATTTTTATCTTTGTGGTTCTTTTCATTCAATAAGCATTTTTATGATTGAGCTGTGAATTGCGATGAATTAAACATGGTTTTATTACATGTTCTTCATTCTTTTTACAGGTTTTAAATTTTGAGTTTGATTCATGCAGAGACCATAGGAATTTCATTTGCACAAAGACATAACAAAGGTGCCCACTTCCATTTCATAGTAGTTACATTCATGCTAAGGTAAGTGAATCCACCCTCTGTAGTTTTCACTTTCAGCCTATATTGATCACTTTGAAAAGGTTTATGGGTCATGAATCTGTATGTAATCACTCCCAGTTCATAGTGAACACGCGCAGATGACTGGAATGTAGAAGGCTCTCTGTAGTTATCACTTTGGTTCCATAGTGATAACTACAGAGGCATTTCCTGGGCTAACAGTGACGCGCGTAGTTACTTCCATTTCATAGTAACTACGCGTAACCCACTTCAAAAGCGCCTTCTTTATAGTTGTCACTTTCATGCCATAGTGATTACGCGCGACACTTAACTTGCCAAATATAAATGCGCGTGTCTACTATGGTTTGAAAGTGATAACGGCCACAACTTATATAAACTGAAAGTGATTACTCCAGCCTTCACTCTCTCCAAACCTCTGAGCGCTCTCATTCT